GTCCTCTCAGACATTCTCATATAATCGTCAACAGAATCGGGTGACTCCCCCATTGCCATAAGTTTAATTGCAGCAACACATTTTTGCAACTCTGTGAAGCCTCGTTTGCCTCTAGCATCATATCTCATTTGGAAAAATTCATATCTAAATAAATATTAAACATGTAAAAATTATATTTCTTTTTATCTAAAAGTAGCATTTTATAAATTAAAAAAGTTGAAACAAACGATACCTAAATATATAGTAAACAAACGATACCTAATTAAATATTAAACATGTAAATTTGTATTTATTTTATCTAAAAGTGACATTTTGTAAATTATAAAAGTTGAATCAAAAGATACCTTGCTTCCATAGCGTTGGCTATCCTTTCGAAGATATTTTTTCGCAAACGAAATCTTCTTTTGAAATCGCTTGGCTGGTAGACACAATTTTCCGCAAAGTAATCGTTAACTAGCCGCGGATGCCCTTCCTCACGATCTCTATTTAACGTCGCACGTCACGTGAGTAGTGGAGCTGGATCTGGCTGTAGTAGGTTGTCTGTGTAATACTGGTACATCATACTCACGAACAAATCGTTTTCATCGTTATCATCATTGTACGAATGAGTCGGATCAAATTCATTCATAGTTGGTTGATTTTTGTGTTTGTGTTTTGAGTGATATAGAAATAGAGATAGATATAGAGAAATATGTGTAGTAAAAAGAATGAGGTATATATATATATATATATATATATATATATATATATATATATAATGAAAATGTAATTAGTAATTTTTTTTTATTAAAGTTACCGTTTTTAAACGGTTGAATTTGCAAACGTTCGGAATTTTCACGCGTTACCACACGTTACCACCATCACACGCCATAACGTAACACCTAATAACAGAAGGGGGGCGGTGTTCCCCCGTTATGGCATTGCCACATCAGATAACGCCATTTTGGCGTTGCCCACACCCGGTCCTCTTAGGGAAGTGTAGGATATTTCAATCTTAAAATTGGATGCTCAATTTGAACATTAAAGTGGTGTTTGCTTTTAGGAAACAAAAATTCATGAAGTCTGCATACTACTTTTGTAACTCTCTGCAGTAAAAGAAGTGATCCAAACGGTTGTAGGCTTTAATAAGAATTGTGTTTGTTTTTTTAACATCTGCATTTTGCTGCACATATTAAAAATTTAAAATAAACTAATTTATATACCGAAAATGGTTTTTTAATACCGAAAATTTAATAACGTACAGCATTTCCACAAAATTTTATGATATTTCAACAAAAAATAATGATATTTCAGCAACAAATTATCATTATTCAATATGAAAAATGAAAAAAATAATTTAGCAAAAAAAACGCTAAAAAAAGAAAGTGAAACAACAATACAATAAGATTTGAGTAATATATAATCAACATTTCAGCAAGGAAAAAAAAAAGATTAGAATAGTCAATACAAGTGTTATCGCAAACATTACACATAGATATTTTTCTTCTGAATACTTTTAAAAAACAAACAACTGCGAAATGATAAGTGTTGTGCGTGTGTTGTGTCGTACAACAATAAAATGTCTGAAAATATTTTTTATAAAAAAACAAATAGCACCTAACACTTGTTTTAACAAAAAGTATATTATAATTATTATAAGAGTTAAAAACTATTACCAAAAATTACAACTACTCAACGATAAACAAAAAATCCCAGCAAATAAGAAAATATAAATGCATGATTTCGGTTGTGGCAGATACATAATAAAAATGAAAAACAATTTATCATATTTACGAATCACGCAACTACCAATTCAAAGTTTTAAATAGAGTTATCAGGTTGAGACAACCTAGGCCCCTGCCATGAAAAAAAAAAAGCTAGAGAACTTGTATAATATCATCAATTTTTCATTTATTTATACATAAAAAACTGTCGCATCTTAAAAAGATGTTCCACATTTATTTTATTCAACCATTTTAAATTTACACGAAAATCATATAAGTCTATATATTGATAATTATTTTGGAATAGTTGATTAATTATTATAATTTTTAACCATTAACCATGGTTTGCAAGGGTTATAACATAGCGTGTTTATATATATATATATATATATATATATATATATATATATATATATATATATATATATATATATATATATATATATATATATATATATATAAAGCGAAAGTCGATTAGAATGAAAGCATTGCCCCACAAGTAACAGTCCCAGTCCCTGAAAGTAGAAGATGATATTAAAAAAAGTACACATGTTGGCATAGGGTCCATTAGGATATAGCACATGGATATGAAATCAGGAAATTAACTTAAAATGGAAAAACAATATCTTGAGTTCGAATTTCGAAAACAGACATACGGGCATTCCTCCACTGTTCATAATTCCCCATCTGTTTGTTGTTTCTTGTATGCTCTCCTTCGTCATCTTCCTTTAAAGATTCTGTTTCGAACCCTCCATATATTTCTATTCATGCAAGATGGGCCATAACCAACAGTTCAAGGTTCGATCTGAATTCTGAATGAACGTGGTTTTGCTACCATTGGAACCAACATTTATCATTTAATATCATTAAAAGATCAAAGACAACGCTTGCAAAAATCTAAAGACGGCTATAGATATTTTTTTGAGGATTTCAAAATTTAGTCACAAAAAACCGAAATTTCGGCTATAGCCATGCATTCCGCGGAGCACCCTCTACGGGCTCCACGTACAGATGAAATTTCCACGGAACGGGGGTATTTTCGTAATTGCCCCTCCCCTCTTTGTAAAAACGGGTCTCCTCTTTGCGCCCCCCCCCCCCCAAAATCTGTCCCCATGTTTCCTCTTCGAGTTCAACCTAGGATTTGCTGGCGATATCGTCTTCAACCCTGTCATTTTCCAGCGATAACAATTTTAACAATGATTTCTAGCGCCGATGGAGCGGAATTTCCCTAATGTTTTCGCCAATGGATACGGCTCCCGTGTAATTTTCACGTTTCCCTCTTTAAATTAATGTTTACTTTTTTTCGTATTTTTTAGATTTAAGATTAAAATGGTACAAAAATGCAATTCATAACCTGCAATATGTTTAGATTTTGATTTATGATTAAATGGGTTTGAAATAGCGAAGGTGCATTCCGCGGAGGGGTAGGTCACTCCGCATAGGGATTTCCGCAAAGTGATGTATATTCTCCGTGGAATGGATTACAATGGGTAATATGTCACTCCGTAGAGGGATAGGTCACTCCACAGAAGGGTCTCCATGGAATGACCTATAGCCTCTGCGAAATGACCTAAAATGTCATTTTCCTCCTTTTTCTGCCTTTTTATATCAGTTATTAATTAAGTAAAAAGTGTGTTGCTATTTACTTCCTAAACCGAATTAACTATGTAACTTTAAAACCTTGTTTTTATTTCAATTACTAACGTTTTATATTAAATGTATATGTTTTATAGCACGATGATCTCGATAAAAAATCATATTTAACTTTAAAAGGCGTGGTTGGTACAATCATTAAAGACTATTTTCCGCGCCTAACACAATCGCAACAAGCATTATTGGAAGCTTCACCGTTTGGAAGATTCTTAGGAATGCATGTCTCCAATGGTGACCCTCTGTGCATTAGATGAGGTTGAATGAAGTAAGGTCTCAAGAAGTGTTTGAAATGGGGAGGTTTCTTTTTGAGATACAAGGGATGTAGTTTGATTTTGGTGAAACTGAATATATTTGGATTAGTGGGTTAATAGTTGGTCCTTATGTGGATTTACTCCATGACAAAAGTGGTCAGTCAAATTCAAATATTTAGGTTTGGTTGTTCCCAAACATTACAGATGCATGTTTGCTGCTCAAAAATTTAAAATACTACATTATTTCTACAAATTATTTGGCACTTGAGGATGAAGATGTGGTAATGTTTATCTAGCTTGTTTTTATGTTGAAAGGTCTCCACGGACGGGACACTAAAACGGGCATTCTCGCCACAATATACAAACTTGCTGAGAATATAAATGATTGGAACAGATATTACATTTAAAAACTATGTATAAATACAATAATAATTATAATAAATAAATTGAAAATTACAGGTTTTCACGCGGTATGTATTTTTGGACCTATACTTTGGGGTTGATTCGTGGAATGTTTAAGAAAATAGAAAATTTTAGAATATTCAAGCAGATCAATCCCGAGTCAAAGAAAGTACACAAGTATATAGTTACCGGTTCTATGCTTTCGTTTACGGTTAGTTGCTAATGCATTTAAATAGTTATCATAATTTCATTTTTATACCATAATAGCATTATACTTCCATTTGTACTACATAATACCTTTGTACTTTCATTTTATACTATAATAGCATCATACTTACCTATTTTTTCCATAGATATGGATTTTGCAGACGTTCACAGGGTCAACACAGTATTATGTTCGCATGCCAATAGAATTGCCACGAACGATGTCTCGGAGAAGAAAAACACTATTATCTTGGGTTCAGTGTTGTTGAATAACCAACGTGTCTATGGTATGATTTGTATATTATAATTATATATAATTACAAATTCCAATGTTTTTTCATGTTAAACTAACAATCTGATTTTTGCAGCCTAGCAATAATCCTATTATTGTCGTGGCAAACGAGACAGAGCTGATGGAGCCGTTTTATATTCACTATGTGAATTGGACTCTTAACTATGAAGAATCTCCACCACGGCAACAAAGTCCACTTATTGTTGCCTCGCCTCCTCGAAGAAAGAAGTACAAGTCGAAAACATTTTCGACTTGAAATGACCATAAATGCTTCTACCTCGCAACAGCCTCAAGTAGAAAGAAGTTATATGTCAAGCGACACATCAACAAGGTCGGTAAAGAAGAAGGCGAACACAAAGGCATTGGTGAAGCGTCTAATAGGCGTTGTGGCTGACTTAACTTCAAAAGTAGACCGTGTATTACAAAAAAAAAAAAAAAAAAGAAAGAAAAAAAAAAAAAAAAAAACTAGATACAGGGTTTAGAGAGGAGGAGGACATGGTAAACGAAGAGGAGGAAGAAACATATTACCATGGTACACAATTGCATTATGATGATAAATTTACGCATGGTTTGGAGGGGGAAGTTGGGCATACACCTATGGGGAAAAATGTTGATCCGTCGACAGACGTGAGTCGACATCACAAAAAAACAGTCACTCCTATTGTTAGGCTACAACGAACGTGGGGTGCTTCATTGTATCAGCAGACATCATTCACAGTGGTATTAATCTATTTCAAATTTGTTGTATTTATAAAATATTACGTTATTGATAATCAACTAACATTTTAATTTTTTAGATGGAATCAATACCAAAATTGAAGAAAATCATCAAACCAAGGAAAAAAGTAGTAGATTGTCCCGAAAAAACAAATGAAGACATTGTGAATGAAAACATTAGTAATATTTCAAAGCATATACTGTTAGATAGCCTATATGCTGCTAGTACATTGGGTTTTTAGAAAGAATGGAATATGACCTCTTCCAACCTCAACACTAAACACATGCTCCATATACTCCCACTGGATGTGGAGTTTTGGTCAAGGTTACTTGCAGTTACTGGCTCTGAGTAGTTAATTTTTTCGGTAACATTCATTAAATTTAACTACCTTTAAGAAGATAATTTATATAAACAATTGTAACATTTTTATCTTAAAATGTACAGCATATTGCAATACGTAATGCCTTGCTCATAGAAAGACAGTCGTCGAATGCAAGGTGGATGATATACCCTCAAAAACTCAATTTGCAACCCAAAATAGATTTTTTTTAAGGAATGTAGCAAATGGCTTTGGAGGCTATCATAAATGGAAGGATGTGGATATGGTTAGTTTAGTTATATATATATATATATATATATATATATATATATATATATATATATATATATATATATATATTACCGAATTTACTACTATATAATTTAATTTTTTTTTTCCAGGTTCTATTTCCCATAAACTTTGTTGGTATTCATTCATTTTTTTGTAGTGCTACATTTAAACATGTGGAAAGTAAAAATTTATGATTCAACATGATCTATGAATTCCTTCTCAAAATACAAGATTGGTGGAGAATTCAAAAGTTTTAAGGATAATATTATCTTAGAGTTAGATAAGATTTAGTACTGGAACAATTTCCCCGATGGACATAGAGACAATGCAATTGTGGAGTTTATTGAATCTATAGACACGCCACAGTAGGAATACATCGAAGATAGAGGTTTATTGTGGAGTATTCGTATGCATGTTTATGGAAATTATTGTTTTGGGGGTATCGGTAAAGATTGATAGGTCATGTAAAGATTCGAGTTGTCTATATAGAAATAGGATGACAAATATGAAATACCTGTTTTTAGTAATTTTGTTTAATATAAATATGTGTTATATTTGTGTTATTATATTTGTTTTGCAGACTGCCAAGTCAGTTATGCGTACTGAGAAGTCGTAAATTATATTTCACTATAAAATGACTCAAAAATCTGTATCATTTCATATAATCTTTATCACTGCATCTACTTTGTATATCTATCTTACAATAGGTTCAAAACTATGGAACACTGAGGAGTATTTGCTACTAAATCATGCATATATTAATGTCTACCAGAACAACAGTTTGAATTATACAATGTTTTGGGTCCTTTTATCCAATACTTTCAATATTAATGCTCAAATCACCTTAGAAAACCATCACAACACGCTTGATATAGTAGAAAAATAGTATGAATTGAAAACAAAAGTTGTGTTATTCAACGATATTTGTAAGAAGATTGAAGACGCACATGTGAATGATACTGAGGAAGACATCTTGGAGGCGGCTAAAGAAGAATATAAATCCATTAGCAATAGAGAGATTTTTGTGTATGAATCCCATTGGAATCTTTTGAAAGATCTCACGTATTTTTAACTTATACAACGTTTGTATTGCTTTATTTATATGTACTATGGTTGATTTTTTTGTGTTTGTATTATGTTATTTATCATTTATTTTTTGAAACAGAATGCACCAACAAATATTATGATACAATCAAATCAAAAAACATTACAAATAACATAAAACCATTACAAAAAAAAATAATAAACATTACGAATAAGATGTAGGACTTACAAACATTACATAAACATTACAAATAAAAGAGTCGTCTACATGAAAAAAAGTTTATTTTTAACCAGATTCCAAACGTCCATATACTTGAGCTCATTTCCATCAAACTCGAAAATTTAATATTCGTTCACGTCTTCAAAAAGGTCTTCATCGTATGCATTAGAGCATCACATTTTCTCATAATTTTAGTGTCGATTGAACCATGTGATGTTTTTCTTTAAATCCATCCATATTTTAACAATATCTGGTGTTATCCATTCTTGTCCTTCTCCCACCTCATGGTTGAACAAAGTTATTAGAAGGGACGATTCATCACCAACAAGGCAATGAGAGGGACCCATGGATGGTAGAACCTCGAAGATGGTAATCTACTATGGTATTAGTACCAACACCTCTATCATCGCACATGGATGTGAACCATTTGATGGAGCTGGTGCATTTGACGGATTTGCTGCATTCAAAGAACTTGGTACATTGGACGTCATTTTGTGAAAGCATCCCTTTGTGAATAAAACATGTGAATTTCATATAGATACAAGCTTGATTATATAAAAAGATAGGTTATGTGGACTGACAAGTCAGTTATGCAGACTGCCAAGTCAGTTATGCTGACTGACAATTCAGTTACGCGGACTACCAGGTCACGGACTGACAAGTCGGTTATGCAGATTGCCAATTCAGTTATGCAAACTGACAAGTCATTTACGCGGACTGCCGAGTCAGTTATGAGGACTGACAAGTCAGTTATGAGGACTCACAAGTCAGTTATGCGGACTAACAAGTCAGTTACATAGATTGCGAAGTCATTTAACTATGTGGACAACCAATTCAGTTAAAGGACTGTCAATATATGTTACACGGACTGTCAAGTCAATTATTTATGCAGACTAACAAGTCACTTCCATGGATTGCCTAAACAGTTATGCGGAATAATGAATACAGATTCCATTTAAATTGGACAATCAATTTCATTTTTAGAAGTTGTCAAAATAAGTTCAGTCAATGAGGTATTCAATTTCTCCAACCTGCTGATTTTCTTTCATAATCTGCAAAGAACGAATCCTACCACCTTCACGTGCATTAAGAAAGATTCATACAATCGTTTCCAATTTTATTTTGTGGCATTAAGGTGCATAGCATGTAATCCTTCATAGTAAATTTTTTGTTATTTGAAGTTGTTATATGGCTAATATTCTTATCTTTACTGGAAAATTTGTACGTTTCTCACATCTATGATACCAATCATATTCGTTGGTTTTGTACCTCTAATTGGGACGTACATAACATTTATGTACATTGCGGTTGCTTTATATGGAAATTATGAACCCCTTCTCATAGCAATTGCTTTGGGAACCATAAACGGTGACGATTCATGGGTATGGTTCATGAGGAGGCTGAAAGAATGTTTAGGTGACAGTATGGAAGTTATTTTCATAAGCCATATATCTAAGTCCATGGAGTTTGCAGTTCATATAGTCTACCACGATTTATATCATGGTATTGTTGTAAAAATATAGCTGAGACAACACATGCTTACACCGGAAGCAATACAGTTCTGGAGCAGTTGTTCTGGAATATATGGAAAGCGTATAATATGTCTGATTTAATGTGTGTTTGAACATCTTACAAAATGAGTTGAATAGGAATGATCTTCACTGGCTTGAGAATATTGCCATTGCATAATGAGTACGGGCATTTTTCCCTAAAGTACGTTTTAATGTTAAATTCATTGACATTCCCGATGTCATCAATCGGATAAAAACAAATAGACATGAGTTACCAATAACAACAATCATTCAAATGGTCCTTGACAAGATGCAAGGATTGTATGTTCAATGTGCTACATGCGGAGGTAATAATGAAATGTTATTATACATTATGACATCAAAATTTTTATTTAATGTTTCAATTCATTTCACATGGGAATTTCATGGTCTTCCCAAACCAGTGTACTATGTTTCCTAGTAAATGAAAGGCATGGATGCCATGATGAGCGTTTGGGAAAACATTATCAATACCAACTCGAACTGCATTGTCCCTTTCAGTTACAAAAGGTCAAATATTGACAATCACCAATGCATTCATACAACTTTTCGAGAAACAATGTCCAAGTAAGACCAATCTCTTTTTTTCATATTCGGTGCGCAACAAGCACTATCTGGTTGTTCCCATCCATAGCTACTACACGCAATATTGTTCCCTTAATATCATCCTTAAAATGGGGACCATCCATAATTATGACTTTACGAAAAAAAACATTTGAATGCTCGCATCTACAATATACTTGTATGGAACACATAAACACTCTACATTTTTTACAAATTAGTACCCATGACTTTTTTATTTGCGTGCTTATGATTTGGGTGTATCTGTAAGGATGAACATGTGTGCACGTTGTTGAAAGTCCTGATTTCAGATTCATCAGTCGGATCAAGGCATTTTGCATGTAAAGGCCATGTAAAGTTCTCAATTTCACAATATACCTCATAACAGTTTTTGTTAGAATGTTTGGTCTTAAACTGAAACTTTTCTCTTCTTTATTTAAGACTCAAAGAAAATATTAGTTATTGTTTGTTATCATAAGTTTGACGAACAAACATATCATCATTTGGACCTCAACTATGAAATGGTCCAGGTTCTAGAATGTGATCAGGACAATCAGGTATGGGAGGCATACCGTAAAAGATGTCTGAAGCTTTTTTTCCATGTCTAAACTTATCTTCTGACCAGCCTTCATTTGATTCTTCGTCGTCTGACAAAGTTTTGTCATGCAGTCTTCCAAAATCATTTAAATATTTTCTTCTTCCACCGTATTCAAAGCCACGGTTTCTTCTTGTGGACACTCTTCAACATTCTCAGATACAATGTTCTCAACATTGTATGATACAATCTTGACAACCGCTTCTGTCTGCTCGACCAATCCCTCATGCACCTCTAAATACAAATGCACAATCTCCTTCATATGTTTCTGAGTTGATGAACATTTGCTTCGTCTATAATATTCATAACATACTCACAAACTGGGTGTTGAAATCACAATGATATATTACTATTGAACGTATTAGCCTTTGTTTTAACCAAATAAAACAATATTCGACGGGCAAAATGAAGGGTCCAGTTTATGGTTTGGTCTAGGCTTTCCATTGTAAAAGTTCTTTTGAGTCATTTTATGTATTTTCAGGTTGTTTAGATGTTTACAGCCAGATCATGTGTTTACGGCCGTAAACCCTGTTTACGGCCAGAGTCTTCTATTTATAGGGCAGGTCAAGGTCTTTTGTGGTTGTTGATCGTTTAGTATTTTGCAGCCAGAGTATTCACAAGTTGTACCAGAAGTTTTTATGACATAAATGTCACACCCCAAAACCAGGAACGGCGGAAACGTTCTGGGGTGGAGGACGTCATGTATAATATCAACAACAATGTAAAGTAGTAAACAAGCAACAACATCATCCATTGCATTAATAATATAATTATTATACAAATGTGTTCTGTCAAATTTTGATAAACACTAAAGCATAAATCAAAATGAAAGATAAGTCTTGAACAAGCACCATCTTCCTTTCTCCTTGCATCAGTACCTGTCTATGATGACCTGAGGATACAAGTAATTTTGAAAGCGAGTATCAGCTTTGAAGCTGGTGAGATCATAAGTATTAATGTGTCTTAATTTGTAAAACTTATAATTTTTAAGACTTGAC